GGAACATGGATGGGCCAAAAGGGCATTATGCTAAATGAAGTGAGACAGAAAGACAAATGTGTGATCTCACTTACGTGTGGAATCCAAAACGAGGTAAGGAAAAAAACCGAGCTCAAAGATACAGAGAACAGACTGGTGGTTGCCAGGGGCATGGGATGGGAGTGGACAAAATGGGCAATGGGAGTCAAAAGGTGCAAACTCCCAGTTATAAAATAGATAAGTCAGGGTGACACTATGTCCAGCGTGGCAAATACAGTTAAAACTGCATGTGGAAAAGTTGATAAAAGGAAATCTCATCACAAGAAAAATAACCACGTATGCTGACAATATCAACTCTTACTATGGTGATCATTTTGCAATACAGTTGACCCTTGAACAACTCGGGGATTAGGGGGGCCTACCCCCATGCAGTCAAACATCCATGTATAACTCTGACCACCCCAAAACAACTACTAATAGCCTACTATCAACCAGAAACCTTACTGATAACATGGTAGTCATTTATTTACTACATACTTACACGTAAGTTGTATTATTTACCGTATTCTTACAAAGCTAGAGAAAAGAAAATATTAAGAAAATCATAAGGGAAAATACATTTGCAGTATTATACTGCATTTACCCAAAAAGTCCATGTGTAAGCGGACCCATGCAGTTCAAACTCGTCTTTTTCAACAGTCAATTGTTCATACAAATATGGAATCAGTAAGCTGTATACCTGAACCTGATACAGTGTTATATGTCAATTATCCCTCAAAAAAAAAAAAAAAGACTCTTTCTCCATCTCTCCATTTTGTTTTTTTCTGAGTTGGCTCTCAGGCAGTCAGTTGACCCTGAGTGAGAAAGGCTGCCACCAGAAACTCCAGGCTTTCATTGTATCACCCTAGAAACCCAACAGAAAGAAAAAATATTAGGTTGAATACATGAAATTACCACTGATGTAGGTCAAAAACGGTTGACTAACAGCAATTTCATATGTTTCAACCTAAGAGTTCCAGAGTCCCCAAGGCCTAAAGTTCATTGGCTCAGCTTCAATGTCATGCCCACTATTATCCAATCACTGTGGCCACTAGAATAGACCACTCTTTTTGACCATGTCCAGGACATATGCCCATTCCTGAGCCATGTCATAAGAAATGAGGTAAGACTGATTCGTCAAAGAAAACTTAAGGTGCTATTATCAGAAAAGGGGGAATAAAAACAGAGGAGGCCCATCAGATGCCCACTATGCATAAAATAGACATGAAATGTGTCCATTTACCATGAAGGTAATGAACACTCGCTTTGGCAAACCTCACCCGTACAGGCTTTTCCAAAACCATGTATCTAGTTTTGTACTTACATTTTTCAATTCTTTTAATTTTTTTTCTTAGAAGTGAGTTTTATTCGCACTCTGACCAAAGCACAGATCCCACATACAGATTTCTCATCTGCACGATGGCACAGCAACCAGTGCAAAATATGTTTTATTTCACATACAAAACAATGTGGCAGGATTCTTTTTCTTTAAAAGGAGGCCTCCAAATTATATAAGCTTTAGAACCAACAGAACGTGCAAGTGCAACTAGTGAAAATACTCAAACATATTTTTGAAACTAGTATGTATTCCCAGTAGATTGTACTTCCTTCAGCTTTTAGTGTAAAGCATTTAGTAGGTAGTTTACTCACAAAATTCTTCTCAATAACTCAATCTCTTTTGACACTAATAGGAAATAACCTGATCATTCCCTTCAAATCTCCCCAACTTCTTAGAGCTCAGCATCTTCATGAATATTTCTTCGCCTATGTCACAGACCAACACAAATAAGGTCCTTTTTCATTTTTGCCCCACCCTGAACTTCACTCCCAGATGAAACCTGCCTCCCAGTACCTCCGTTCATGAGGGGTCAGCCCCATTTGAAAGGTGAGTCTCTGGGTCTCGCTGTGGTTTCTTATAGCACCAACTTGAAGAAACGTAACAGACACTCATATTCACTCCAAACTAACATTTATTTTTAAAAATTGCAAATCAAAATGAGTTCTCTGAAATTATGAAATAGAGAATGTGAAGTGTAAGGCGGATCTTATACTGGAGTGAATCTAGGATAGGAGATGGGGTCAAAGCAAATACACCTACAGAGGACCCACTACTAGGGCTGTACCAAAATGGGTCTGGACAACCAGAAAATGTGCCTTTGTTTTTGGGATTTCCAACTGCACTTTACCCTTCTATTTGGCAGTCAGACAGCCCCAAGAATGTAAATTCATGCTGTTCTGAGTGGGGGGGAAGGTGAGGAAACTAAGCCTGCTTGCTGCTATTCTGATGGCAGCATTTGTCCCTGGGAGAGACGGCTCTGGCACCGATGTTACTTTTCTCCCCTCTCAGGAAAATGGCTTGGGCTGTGTATCGGGGAAGCCAACGGGCACCTACAATTTCCGCTTAATCCCCCCGCAGGTTTCCAAACCTGTAGTCCTTCAGATGTGGCATTGAGTTTGAACCCATTTTTCCCCTCCCCCCACCTCCTCCAAGAATTATGGCTAGAAACCAGGCAGCACGATTATGTTGCCTTTTTTCTTTTAATTTGTTGAAATTGTCTCTAGGCAGAAGAAGGGGGGAGTTGAAACCAGATGGTTGTAGTTGGAGTAGAAGCATACTACTGAGGAGCTTTGAGATGCTCAAATCTGGTGGCGGCCACTGTTGCCCAGCAGGGAAAGGGATGAGATAACAGACTGGCGGCAAAAGATTCCCAGAAGACTGACTGCCAGTGTCCTGTTTTCTTTATCCTCTGACCACACACATGTAAAAGGAGGTCTCCTTTCCTTTAATTCTCCAAAGCACTACCAACCTTGGGTTAAAGCAGACTTTAACTCTTGCGGAGGTGGGGAGGATTAGTTACTTGTTACGAAAGGAGTTTGTATCACCGGGACTTAAACAGTTTATAAATGAGTATTATCCATTCTTCTTAAGGCCCCTTAGCCTGCCTGTATCTTCTTCATCAGCATCCCTCTACCACTCACCAAATGCTAGCAAATCTCACTGAATCAGCTGATGTGTTCCTCAACTTCTCCCTACACACAGGAAACACAGGGAAAATTGAGACTGAGGAAAGAGGAATAGTCAGAGAGCTGGGTAAGAGTGAACTTCTTTTATCTCCCAATTTTTGGGGAGACTCTGCTAACAGAATAGCTCCCCACCCTGGTCTCCAAGTCATCCGAGCACCTGGAGGGAGGTCAACCTGGGGGCTAATGCCACCTCCTTCCCACTCTTGGGGAATACTGATTCTCAATCTTTTGTCAAATACTAGGCAAATACAACTGAATATCCCATTCAGATGTCCACCTGTTAGGGTTTGTTGTTCCCCCAACAGATGGTGTCTCCTTCACCACTACTTCTTCAACTCTCCAGCACCAACTGGGTGTTCTACAATTCCTCTCCATCCTGCCACTAACTGCCTGGAGTTAGCATCAGACTCCATGGTTTAAGGGCTCTGTCCCACAAGAATGCCCACACTTCAGAGACCAATCACAAGTATCAAGTCCCCGGACTGCATCTGACACCCATTCAGGGGTTCCCACAAACCCCCCTCAGATTGCATAATTTGTTGGGGTGACTCAGAGAACTTGGGAAAGGGCTTTAGTTACCAGTTTACTATAAAGAATGTGATGAAGGAAGAGGGCAAGGTATGGGAGGGGGGATGCGGAGCTTGCCACCTTCCCAGCCCCTCCACACCTTCAACAACCCGGAAGCTCCCCGAATCCCACTATGTAGTGGTTTTTATGGAGGTTTCATGATGTAGATATGATTGATAAAGTTACTGGCTATTCATGATTCATCAATCTCTAGCCCTTCTCTTCAGGGAAGTTGGAGGTGGGACTGAGAGTTCCAAACCTCTAACCAATTCTTAGTCTTCCTGGTGACAAAAGACTCTTATCACCCTTATCACTCAGGAAATTCCAAGGGTTTTAGGAGCTCTGTGACAGGAACTGGGCACAAAGACCAACCATCTTTCTTATCCGACTCCATTACGTTTACCTGTCTTGTTAAAAAAAAAGAAAGAAAAAGAAAATCCTAGAGACACCCTCCTTAAGGTGTTAGTCTTCCTATTTCTGACTATCCCGCTGTGTGTACTCTCCATATCCCCTTAAGAGAGTGACCAGGAATGTCTGATTTGCTCTTCATGAGGCTTTTGGACACATAATTAGTTCCCCTGTGGTAGACCTCTTTATCCGTCCCCTCCAAATAAATCATTCATGAGAACAAACATTAGACCAGAATGCCAACTCCACCTCTTTTCTTCCCACAAGAATCTTAGGATGTCAGTGGTAAAAGTGGACTTAAATGGCCCAGCAACTCACTGCCACCCCCACCCCCCTTTAGGCAGACATCCCCTCCACTTCCCTGGGCCAGCTCCACCAGCCTCTGGCTCACTGATGTTCCATAAAGGAGAACTGGTCGTTCTGAATGTCCAAGGAAAGGAGGCCTGGTGGCTCTTACTTGTGGCGTCTCTCACAGTAAAAAGTCACACTCTGGAACAGGAGACCGGGAACTTTACTGGTGAAAACGGAAGGAGGACCAATTTGACAGCGCTTCCCCGGCTCTCTTCCCCGTTCTGCCCTACCGCCTGCTAGTCCCGCTCCCTGTATGCCCAACAAAGACAAAAACAAAACAAAACAAAACAAAAACACAACTACAGCAACAACACACTCAGGGAAACAAAGCTTTCCTTTTAGGTCATCAAGACATTTTCCTCTTGAATCAAAAACCTCGCTTGCTCCTAGGTTTGGGCTTTGATTATCTGTGGCCCCCAGATGGTCTCAGATGGTGAGGGCCTTCAACGCACACAGGTTGATTTGAAATCCATGTTTAGGTCCCAGCATGTGGCAATGTGCTCCACTCGGATGACACTTTTCGCTTCTAAGAATAGCGCAGATGAAGTAATATTGCAACTGACGTTCCCGGGGATTTGATTGGGTAAGTGCATAAACCGTGGAGGGAGAAGGTGGGGGGGGTTCTCTGGACGGATCACATTAGTATTCCCGTCCTATCAATGTGCGGGGCAGCGCACCACGTCAGGCGGACAGATTGCCTGCGTCTGCCAGTCCCGCCACGGATCCATTTGGGATCCTCAAACAGATGAGCCCGTAGAGACGGGGGATCAAGGCAGCCTATTAGAGCCGATTGCCTGCCTCGGGGACTGCCAGCCTTCCAGGCCTGGCGACGGGGGAGGGAGGGGAAAGACGACGGAGCGCCGCTGCGGGAAGACTCTGAGGCGAGAGCTAGACTCATACCCGCCCCCCCACCAACTCCCACCTTACAGCGCAGGCTTTGAAAGCTGCTCCCCCATCTGAATGGAAACTCAGAACCGCCTGGCGGCGCGTTCCTTCTCGCCCAGCGCTGCAATCCATGCCGAGGGGAAGGTAGTGCGAGCCCGCGCCAGCGCCCAGCTCCCGGGACAGGGCCGGCAATGCTGCTGAGCAGAACTTGACCGAGCCCCTTCCTCGCTGCTCAGTGGAAGCGATGCTGCAGCGCACAGCCAGCGCTTCCCCGGCTCTCCTTCAAGCTGAAGGTTACCCACCCGCGCAGCCAGCCCCAACCCTGTGAGCGCCGCGCCTCGATTCCCGGCTCCGGCTGCTTGGCGGCGCGCAGGGCAACGACCGGGCCGCCCGCGCCGGGGCGCACTGCACCAGCGGCTTCGGCTTGGTGGATGTGTATGCATGAGTTCTGCACCGAATGGGCGCAAAAAGCGCCCCAGCCGGTCCACCCGCTCCTCGATCTTCCAGATCAGCAAGCCCCCGCTGCAGAGCGGGGATTGGGAGCGCAGGGGCAGCAACTCCGAGAGCGCCCACAAAACCCAACGAGCCCTGGACGACTGCAAGATGGTAGGTGAAAACTGCGCCTTTTTTTTTTTTTTTCCTTTTTGGAGAGGAGGTGGGGGCATCTTGTATGTTAGTCGTTTGCTTGACTGCCAGCCACTCCCCCACCCTCAGCTCCTCCATGCCGATCACGTGCACATGCACTATTTTTAAATCTGCAGTCCCCAGATTCGGGGTGACACCCGGGTCGTAATGTCCCCGCAAAGAAGTGCCACGGCAAGGGTCTTAGGGTCAGCGGCTGTAAGTCATGCCTCTACCCCCTCAGAGAAGGGTGGATGCAAAAGACACGGTGAAGTGGCTTGCTCACCAGGGAGGGAGGGGATGGGAAGGTGGGGGTGCTGCTTTGTGGGGAGACAGCAGCAAATAAACCCAAACAGAGCACACGGGGCGCTGCAGAGGGGACGAAGGTTCCAGCGCAGAGTCTGTGGCCGGTCTTCCCGTCAGGCTCCTGAGCCAGTCTCTGGTTCAGTGGCCTGGCAGGAGGTGAACGGTTTCCCTCTCGCAACCTATCTTTGGCCTTTATCCCCACGCAACTTAAAATCCTTATCTTAGCTGTAGTACAGGGGAGCATTATATGTGAGAGTTCCCAACAGCAAGCTCTAGTGACCTGGGAGTGGCATATGCTCTTGCTCTTCAGAAACTGAGTCTAAGGGAGGAGGGGGGATGGTAGAGAGGGAGGGAGTAGGTCTGGAAATAGAGCTTCCACCACCGGACTTCCCGATGAAAATAAACACTTGCCTTGGACAAGGAGAAACTTACCATCTTTGTGCCTTGATCTTTAAGCAGTCTGTAGGCACCTTAGCTGGAACTTGTGGAGTTGGCTGAGGGGTCACTGAAAACCCATGTTTGTATACACCCAGATAGGAAACGTTGGTGAAGGCAATTCAATTCTTTTTCAGCTTGTCCAAGAGTTCAACACGCAAGTGGCCCTGTACCGAGAGCTGGTCATTTCTATCGGGGACGTCTCCGTCAGTTGCCCCTCACTCCGGGAGGAAATGCACAAGACAAGAACCAAAGGCTGTGAAATGGCTCGTCAGGCACACCAAAAACTTGCTGCCATCTCGGGGTAGGAGATTCTTGGCATTATTTGGTCATTCATATACATGATGCATGGATGCTCACAGTTATTTATGGTGTTCAAGACCTCAGAAGTGATCTCTGCAAATATGGGGTCACCTGAGATCAGGATTCTTTTGAGAGCTATAGGCAAACTAGGTGCCAAATTACAATCTGAAGGTTGTGTGATTCTTGAATATACATATATTCAAGACTTGGGTCATTAAGTGATTGAAAAAAAAATTAACTTGCACTATGCTGTCCACATATCGGGACTCGGGGCTTCAGAATTTTTTTGCAGAATGTTTGGCCGTCAAAATGAAGTTAAGTCATCACCCCTCGAGATTATTTGTCATCAGCTGCTGAACATCTACTGCACGAAAGGCCAGTTCAGTAGAGAGAAAATCTTTGCTAAATCCTAGATTTACTAAACTATTTATACCATGAGATAAATTCCTTGATACCATTTAAAATAAAATCCCTAAAATAAAGTCTTGGATATAAATTACTCTCCTCAGTGTAGTGTATGAAAGGAAAGTTTTAACGGACGAAAATTTTGGTGAAGACTGTGGAGATTCACAAAGCCATCTAAATCTAGGCTGTTCATGTGCCCTTCCCCATTATTTTTATTTCTTTTTATCACCCTTATGGATCCCCGGTCCTATTTTAGGTGCTAATACAGTGAGCGAAACTTCACTTCTGAGACCTCATCTATTTCCTGATCTCTCCATATCAGGAAAGAAGTTAGTCATGGATTTTGTCAAGTTACTATACTCAAATAAGAACATAGAGCAAGGAAACACAGGAATCCTTATAGAAACACATTAAGTGTTTGATTCCGTCTGGATAAAGCCTTTCTCTGTTTATCTGTGTATGTCTGTATCATAATCAAAGCTCAAGTCTATTAGACTAACCTGATAATATTGCAGATTGACCATGTGTAGGAATTATATCTAATTTATTCACTTGAATCACTCTTTGCCATCTTTAATGCCAATAATATGTATAAAGCCGGTAATATGTATAATGCCGGTAATATGTACAGTGACTATTGGTATATATAGATTAGAAAGCCCTATGTTGCCTTTCTCAGTAACTGCATTTAACAAGTGGCATTTTATAACATGAGAAAAGATGCACTATCTAATGTCCTTGAAATGAGACGTAAAGTATATTACAAACCCATTTCATTTGGTGGAAATATTTAGAAGCCTCATCCTTTTCTATTTTAACTGTTACACTGTGCCTAACAGGATGTGAATCTGGCATTTCATCTAGAAGGTGGAAAGGGATTCAGTGTTTAAGGAATTGGGGGAAGAAATGCAGCCGTGATAAACCCCAGACAAGAAGGGAGGTAAAACAACTAGAAACACAAAGGAGAATATTGGTGGAATAAAAACTGGAGAGAAACAATGATTCAGAAGGGGAAACAGATTTACAACAGGAAATGTTATGCCCAGAGCAAAAGAATAGCATCTTTGTCAACTTGTGTCCAAGACCGTACGATGGGGTTATATTCAGGACTCCTCGAAGGTGAAACTCAAGTTGATGACATGTTCCAATCACAGAAGATAGGCTGGAGAAAGAAACAAGGAGTTCAGTTTAGTCTGTGCTGCTACACACATGAAATTCAGGTCCTTCCAAAGTTTCAGGAAAGGAGTCTGAAACTACTGGCTCAAAGTTGAGTTTTGAGGATTTGAGATGGATTTTATATACTCAGGGGTTGGCAGCGCCTTGCTACTTACTTTTATGTTACCCGAGAGTGGATTTTATTGGGAGCAGTTTTGTAAGACTTAGTGGGAAAATACGTTGTTCTTAGAGCCTTGCAAAGGTAAGGCCAACTCTATACAATGTTCTAGGATGGAACCTGAAACATTTCCTCCTTAAAATAATGAATACAATTTAACCTTCTTTCTAAAAAAATGACAGCATTATAACGAAGGAAATCCCTTTAGCTTCTTACCATGTGGGCTTCATTAATGAAGGATGTGATGATTTTCCTTGGTGGAATTCCATTCCTGACTGCTACTTATGTTGGCTCTCATGTCGAGTTTGATGTGAAAGCCGGTAGGGAGACTGTAGCATTCACCTTAAAATCTGAAGCAGGGTTAAGAAAAGCAAAGGCTCCTGGGGAATGTAGAGACAAAAACTGGATTTCTTGAGCACCCATCACTTGCCAGCACGATCCAGTTAATTCACAGAATAGTCCTCTGAGGGAAAGATGATTATTAGCCTTATTGTTACAAATGAGTCTCAAAAAGGTTAAGGAACTTGCCCAAAGTTACACAACTAAGAAGTGGAATGACTGTGATTTGGCCCCACGTTGCATACTTCTGAAATCCATGATCTTTTCTCTACATAATTCTGCCATTTAAAGAAGTATTATGTAAAAAGGAATGAAATATGAAAACATGCTAACATATGGATGAATCACAAGAAGAGTATGCTAAATCAAAGACACCAGTCACCAAATGCCACATATTATATGATTCCTTTTACATGAAATCCTCAGAAAAAGCACATCTATTCACATCAGAAAGTAGATTAGTGGTTGCCTAGATCTGGGAGTGGAAACAGGGAGTCCCTGCAAGTGAGCTTGAGGTAATTTTTTGGGGTGATGGAAGTGTTCCAAAATTGAACTGTGGTGATGATTGTACAACTATATAGCTACTAAAAATCACTGAATTGCACATTCAAAATGAGTGAAGTTTATTATGTGTAAAATATAGCTCAGTAAGTGTCTTGTAAAAAGGTATGATCACTATCACCATGAATAATAACACCTGGCCTTATTCTTTCCTACATACACAGCTTTTAGTGAAAGGGGTAGGAACTACAGGGATGGGGAAACAGAAAACTTGGCTCTCCATGCATTCATCAAGATGCGGCCCGATGCTATCACCTAAACTCCAATGCTTTGCTCTAAGTAGGAACATAGGTGGGGCAAAAGCAAGACCTGAAGGAGTAAATGAAATGACTTATTTCTTAACCAGTGCAGAACCACCACTCCTTTCCTGTTTATCACCTGGCTTTGGGGCCAGAGAAGGGAGACTAGGTTGAAGGTAGACAGGGTAAAAAAAGGATGAAGCAAGATAAACAAAAAAGAGGAGAAGAGCCAATGAGTTGGGATTAAGCCACAGATGCTTAGACCCCCTTCATCCCTAAATGACTCCCTCAAGGAATGGTGACCACAGACTGTTTCTCACTAGCTGGCCCTGGGTAAGAAGGCCATCATCACAGACGTCATCACGCCACCTTCTCAGACTGTGTCTAGACCAGCGAAGGTTGCAGTACCTCCTTCTCTTTCAAAGGCAACAGATGTCTTCTGGACAGAGCCAGCCAGGTGAATCCCCAGTCTCTTCTGCCTGGTTTGAGTGACCAGTTGCTGTCCCTTTACGGTGCTGATCCTCTCGTTGGTATTAAAGCTAAGAGAGGCCTCAGGGATCACTTGCTAGAATGGTCCCCAAACTTGTTTTAGCAGCAGAATCTTCCTTCCATCTTAATGTAGAAAGTCAGATTTAGAAGGCAGGTTGAAAGTAGCATTGCTGTGTCCTGCATGGTGTGTGTGTGTGTGTGTGTGTGTGTGTATGCACGCACACACATCAGGGGCAGGTGGCTACCAGGGCTGGTGACCTGGGACTTCCTTCCCAAAATGACTTCTGAGACACCTTTGAAGAATCCCTAGGGCTTCAGGGCACATAGTATACTGATATAGCACAATGTCCTTGTTTTGTATTTGAGGAGATTTAGATGATTTCAAGCAACTTTAGAGGTAACTTGGGCAAGTATATGTGAAGACTTAGCATTTAGGCAGACCTGGGCAGAGAACCATCTTCTGTGACCTTGATGGAACTACTTCACTGTCTGAATCTCAATTCCCTCCTCTGTCAACTCGTTGTCATGGTCCCCACGGGGTAGTTGTGAGGCCAAGTACATGACTCCCCACCTCTAGAGGATACTCTGCCAGTCCAAGGCCGCTCTAAGCCCGGAATCCATGCCAATCACTCCGTGGTCTGGCGCCAGTTCCACCAAACACACCGTGTCCTGAGAACCAAGAGAAAAGAGCACAGCGAGCCGGCTAGGACCGACCCAGAGGAGACAGTATCCTCCAGCAGACACCGGAGACGATGGTGTGGCTGGCGGGCTGGGCACTGGGATCCCGTTTCCTCCACAGCTGCTGGGCTGCTTTGTGCCGCCCCACATCTCTTTCACGCCTCTGCCTTCTGGCGGCGGCTGCTGACAGAGCGAACGGGAGGTTCAAGTACGCAGATGTGAGAGGCAGGATCGAGCGATGGGAAAGAGCTCTGACTCTAAATCAGATTAGACTGGGATAACATCCTGGCTTTACCACTTGCTGGGAATCCGTGTGTATTGAGATGCATACTGCTTCGCAGTCAGACTGCCTGTGTTCAAATCTCAGCCCTGCCTTTTTTACAAATAGCGTAACCTTGGATGAAGGTAGATACTGTCCCTCTCTGCCTCGGTTTTCTCATCAGAAAATGGGGTTAATAGCTAATGACACTGAAACATACAGTATTATAAGGACTAAGTGAACATATGTCAAGTGAACTCAGAAGACGGACTAGCACACGGTTACACTATTACGAAATTCAGATTAGTGTTCGTATTCATAAGACATGCAAAATTCAGGGTATCATGATACACCTATATGAAAAATAAATTTATCCATCCAATATTTTTCAAATAAATACCTTGGTTGAAATAAATGTTTATCTTAGTTCCTTATATTATGTTTGGAGGAATTTTCTAGGTTGAGGCTTCCCAGATGGTTATTAAAAGGCGTTTTTTTTTTTGTTGTTTTTTGTTTTTTTTTTTTTGAGAGAGAGAGCCTGAGTAAGGGGAAGGGGCAGATGGAAAGAGAATCTCAAGCAGGCTTCACGCCCAATGCAGAGTCCAACGTGGGGCTCGATCTCACAACCGTGAGATCATGACCTGAGCCAAAACCAAGAGTCGGATGCCCAACTGACTTAAGCCACCCAGGTGCCCTAAGGCTTCTTCATTAATACCTTAAAAGCAATATGGATATGCAAGGGTTCAAAAGTAGATTAGGAAGATTTTCTTTGTATAAATCAAACTCTATTCCTAATAAATTATGTCATACTTATAAAATCTTTTCGCCTAGCTCTGGTACAGGCTGTGTGACATTGGACAAAAAGTCTGTTAAATTCTCTGTACACCTCAACGAAAGTGCTGAACTGAATGACCTGAGTCTTCTGGCTTCATCATTCCAGTGTTCCAGGTTAATTCAGGGGGAATCATACAGACTTTGGCTACAGAACTAAACTATAAAAAATAAAATAAGCATCATGCATGAAGTTTGATGATTGAATTCCAGAGATATATTTGTTGAGATGTGAACACACTATGATCACAAGAAGAACCTTAATTTCCTAATGGATTCTGGGAATAATATAATGAATATTGTAGAGATTCATACCCAGAGATTTCAGATTTTTCCCTCCAGCAATTAGTTTCCTGACCAATCATGCCTAGTTTACTCTTCTTTTCTGCTTCCATCTGTCTCCTCCTGGTTTTTCTTTTTTTTTTTTTTTTTTGGACTGTTTTAGTTTTGTTTGACTCCTATTTGACTTTTCTGCCCCATTTTTCCCAGGCCCACTTTTAGTTGGTTCTTATTTGTTCCTTATTCTGTTTGCTAGGGAGTCAGGAGAGCAGGGAGAGGGAGAACTCAGATTCGCAGCTCACTCGGTAACGCTTTAGTACAAGAGGCCTGGTTGGCAAGCCTGCCAAGCCACCCACTCTGTCCTGTATGTTCCCTTTCTATTACAGGTGTTTTTGCTTTAAAAATGTTAACTCTCACTGGTCAGATAATGAAAGGGGAGAGATAGATGCTAGCCATCAAAGGGAAGGACAGGAGAACAATTCTATATTAGCGTGCTAAGGGCTGCAGTCATAAAGTACCACACAGTGGGTGGCTTAAACATCACAAAGTTCTTGTTTCACTGTAGGAGGCTACACATCCAAGATCAAGGTGTGGGGAGGGTTGGTTCCTTCTGAGGGTGGGGAGGAAGAATCTGCTCCTCTCTTCTAGCTTCTGGTGGGTTTGCTGACAATTCTGGTTGTTCCTTGACTTGCTGAAGCGTCTCTCTCTTACATCCTTCTCCCTTTGTATGTGTGTGGGTCCAAATTTTGTCTTTTTATAAGGAAACCAGTTATATTGGATTAGGGGGCCTAACCTATTCCAGTATGGCCTCATACTAATGGAACTAATTACATCTGCAACAGTGTATTTCCAAATAAGATCTCATACTGAGGTAATAAGAGTTAGGACTTCAACATATGAATTTGGGGCTGAGGAGACATAATTCAACCCAGAGCAAATTCCTTTGGCCCATCTGTAGGAGAATGAACACTCTGGGTTGTTGGGCCCAGTGGGAATGGAGGTAGAGCTCAGCCTAGCACTTTGTACATTCTCTCAACACTTCCACACAAAGACTTCCCAGTGCCCAGTGCTTTATCATTTGCAAGACTTAAATATTTAACTCATATTACGGGTGGAGTTTGTGCCCAAGGACTAGATTGTTTTCTGTATGAAATGAATGTGATCACAAAGGTACTGAATCCCCAATGTGGTCAGCCCTTGGCTCTAATCAATTTAACTACCAGTGTGTAAACACGGAACATAAAGGTGGAACAAAAATCCAGCTATACGAGAGAATATTTGGCTGGGGGGCGGGGGGAGAGGAGAGGCACATGACAGTCCGCATACACAGTGCTCACTTTCTCTCGTCCGCTCGGCTAGAACTGGGGTAGGTGCTGGTGGTCTTTCAGCGGTACTAATACTGTTGCTCAAGAACCATAAGCAACTGACACAGTACTGGCTCAGACCAAATTAAAGAACTCAGTGCTATCATTAGCCACAAAATGACGGGTGATATGGAATCTAGACAAGGGCTCTCCAGTTGCCTATTGAAGTTAGCCTTTTTATGCTTTGAACAGATCTAATGACCTTCACCTTGTGAGAGCCCTCTTAACAAATGCTCCAGTCAGAGAGAAAATTAAACTAAAATGAACTTTAGGAAAATTTATTGTCACTTGATTATTGAGATGGTGAAGTACAAGAGAGCAAGGCTGTGTTTCATTTATGCTTGCACCCTGAGTGGCAAGTCAGTGAGGATATGTCCATTTTGTTCGTTCATTAACCTTACTTGGGATTGTAAAACCTATTCTGACAAAGGCTTCAGTAAGAACTGATCGGTTAGATTAGCTCACATTTTATTACTTATCTATTACTTTCGACCATTATTTCTTTCTGATTTGTAACTGTAAAACCAGTATGTCGTTTTTAAACAATAGAAGACTTAAAAAGCACACCTAAGGAGCGCCTGGATGGCTCAGTCAGTTGAGCATCTGCCTTGGGCTCAGGCCCTGATCTCAGGGTCCTGGGATGGAGCCCTGCATCGGGCACCCTGCTCAGCGGGGAGTCTGCTTCTCCCTCTGTCTCTCCCTCTG